ATCCCCCTGAGAAGGTAGAAGGGTTCAGTCTCCTGTACCTCTCTATGAAGCCGGGGTCGATGAAGGAAGGAGCAGGGTCCCGGGGTAGAGGGACTGGGGCCGGCTGAGGGTGAACTGGGGGACCCTGTGGTGGCGCCTGCTGATGGGGTGGGGGCACTGGAATGTGCTGTGGCGGTACCTGTTGGTACCGTGGCTGTGGTACCGGGTTGTACCGCGGCTGTGGTGCCGGGTGGTACTGTGGAGGAACAGGCTCCTGCCGGGGTGGCTCGGGATCAGCCTGCTGTAACGGGGGCTCAACCTGCGCTAGCGGAGGAGGTCCGGGTAACTCCCTTCTCTCCTCTTGCCTTCGCTGGGCAGCTACGAGAGCCTCCACCATCTCATACAGTCTGTCAAGATTCTCCCGAAGCGAATTATCCTGAGCCGCTCGGTTTAGTGGGGGCCTTCCTCTCCTCATTCCCGTGTACTTGCATTCATAAGGAATGATTAAGTAACGATATATCGGTGAGTATTTATCTAAGACACTATTGTGTAAGGGATGGGTCCGAGGAAACGCGGCTCTGATACCAACTGTAACGACCCCGGAAATATTAAAAAGAAATGAGTATTTAAATATATCGAATGCGGAAGCGAGATCAAAATTTTAGTTAACATCCCTTACACGAGAAACCAAAAACGTACTTAAAATATAAAAGATTAAACTAACTAAGAGAGGAACTCGAAAATAAGACTATGAGTATGACTACAGAGTCTCTAGGTATCCCCTTCGTCGTCCTTCTGCGGAACGGGCTCGGGAACCATGTCTTCCTGATCTGAAATGGTTAAATAAGGAGTGAGCTACACTAGCCCAGCAAGAACATCACGATATCTCACCGTCACGGAGGTAAAGGTGGGTAGAAAAACACAAAAAGACCAATGGAGCACAATTTACAATAAAACCTTTTATCAATAATAAAACTTTTACCATCCACTTACCTTGGGTGGAATTTATGAAAACAATATGAGAAAAACAATAACATCATCATAATCATTGAATAATCTAAGCTGTAAAA